AGACATTTTTAAGATACACTTTATGTCACAATGTTTATTTTTTCAAACTTCTGATCAGGTGGAACAGAGAAAAAAGAGCCAGTAGAGCTACATTTAAAAACACGATCAAAAACTGAACACAGTGATTTTTATTCAGTATTTGTCTCTAAATCCAGTTAAACTGGACTAATTTTGTTCTCTTTATTATGAGCAGCTTTACTTTAAAATCCGGTCCGAGCCTCCATGAGTGTCGCCAGTGGAGACAGTGTGGCAAGGAAAAACTCCCTAAGAGCAAAAGGAAGAAACACTGAGAGGAACCAAGATTCAGAAGGGGAACCCATCTTCCTCTGGAACACACCGGATAGCAAACAGCGTTATCACAGTAACACAGAAAACACTGATTATTCACTGGTCACTGATATCTTAAGCTGTTTTCTCACTGAACGTTCAAAACCAAGAACTGACCAAACAGGAACCAGTGGTTCTACTTCTGCAAGGCAAGATTATTTATAGAGCACTTTTCATACACTGACAAAATGCTTCATGATGAAATACAAAGATAATTCATATGATAATTTAAGAAGTAACAAAGTAAACAAATCAAACACACGATGAAAAACAACAGATTTTAAAAGAGAAGAATCAGTAAAATTCAAAATCAAAATCAGATGAAATGAGGGTAATAGAGCAGTGTTAGAGGAGAGAGGTGCAGCAGAGCTGACAGTGTTTAAACTGAGCTAAACGCTGTTATATATTAACAGGACTGATATAATAAACAGGACACGGTAATTCCAGTTCATTCTCTACCTGAAGGAGCCGGAGCCTCATAATAACAATGATCAACGATTTAACCGTCTTCTTGGTCATTTTAAGCCTCTAAAGCGTCTAATTAGGCTAATTAGCTACCTTGCCTGCTAATGATAGTTAGCTTACTTATCAGCTGATCTGAGACGGGGCTGTTCTGCAGTCACGCTGACACGTCTACGTTCACAGAATACAAACAGGACATACTTTTGTAATTAAACAAAATCGCTAATTTTCTGGAGGCTAGCATGAACGCTAATAATGTTAGCTTTAGCGCCCTAACCTGCTTCCTCCTCAGCAAATTTACACATAATAATTATAAATTATAATAAAGAAAACAAATGAAAATAGCAACAAAAAAAAAGTTCTGCAAACAAGCGCTGCAATTTTTATTATATAATACATCAACAACACTGTCTTACGTTTTAAATGGAAAAGAATAAACTAATAACACAGAGCTTGTGAACTGCCTGTAGATGAGCCAATCAGAAGCAACCACATTCTGTATATGTGACATCACAACCAACTGGTAGACTGACCCACTCAGGAAAATACCAGACAAAGTGGATATTCTGCTCTTCTTGGCAGAAAACAGGCCTGGAAATGAATCTATAGAAAATGACTGCATTTAAATCACAATACTGGTCACACCTAGATATTCATTCAGCCCTAGTATCATGTTTTTCCTCCCACCTCTAACAGATATAACACTCATTATCATTATCAAATAATCACCATGAATATCACTAAACCTCAGTATCACAATTACATATCACCCACCCTTAATACCATCACCCCTACATCACACCTACATCACCCCTAGAACACCCCAACATCACCCCTATATCACACCTATATCACCCCTACATCACACCTATCACCCCTACATCACACCTACATCACACCTACATCACCCCTACATCACCCCTACATCACCCCTATAGCACACCTACATCACCCCATATCACCCCTACATCACCCCTATAGCACACCTACATCACCCCATATCACCCCTACATCACCCCTATATCACCCCTATATCACCCCTGCTGATATCAGTACTCAACCCAATGAAGCCCCCCGTCTGAATTTAGCCCAAACCAGCGGCAGCGTCCAGCAGAAACAGGAAGCAGCAGCAGCGGGAGCAGCACAGGCGCCTCAGTGTGGTCTGAAAAGGACGAGTGGACTGATTTCACATGTCTCACAGCCAAAACTTTCACATGAGGTTTGGTTACAAAACCGCACGAAGCCTCTGATCCGTCCTCCAGCTGAACCCGGAGATCTCGGATAGAGATATCATTCACTGCGGAACCAAACCGGCTCCGCTCACGGCTCTGTTTACAGACCAGGAGGGAAAGAAAACAGCGTCCACCGCACTTACTCACACAGACCGGCCCTGTGCTTCACTACGGAACCGACCAGCACACGCCTGCTTCCTCCCCACCACACACACTTAAAAAGGGGGTTCCTCAGTAAAGAAATGGTTCTATATAGAAGCTTTTTGAAAAGCGTTCTATACAGCACCAAAAAAGGTTCTGCTACTGTTACAAGCTTGAAACGTACAGTTAAAAAGGATGGTTCATCAAGAGTTCCTGAGTAAACGAAAGGGTTCTAGATGGTACCAAAAAAGCGAACAGTAAAAACACTACAGGAGACTCGGAGTGACAAACTGACCACATAACTTCAACAACTAAAGAAACAAACTACATCAAAATTCTAATGAAATCTAACAGAAATACAAGATAAGGAAAAAACATCAGAGGTGACTTAAGTACCAGCGTTCGCAAACACAATACGGTGATGGAAATATGAAGAGTATGAAACAATATCTGATTCACACTCGCATTTAGGTGTGCAACACATCAGCAGTGTGGGATTATTTCACGCTTGAGAAAACGTTCATTGCAGAATCTGTAACTTTATTAGCTGTATTTTGTGGTAGTGGGAGATAAAACATCTGGAATTCTTCCTCAGGTTTTCGTTTCACTGCTACGCCACAAATACACCAGATAACACAACATACCAACAGTGCACATCATGCAAACACTATAATAACTTTTTAAAAATTATTTATAGAGCACTTTCATAGCAGCGGCAGCTCACAGTGCTTCACAGTCAGGAGATGAAGTTTGACAGTAATAGAAGAAACTATGAATTATGTATTAATTTAAAATCATATAAAACAATGAGCGTGTTTACTTTCACTTAATAATCTGATAACTGCAGAAATCTGATTGTGTCAGTAACTGGTTCAGTGTGTTCACACATAATAATCTGATAACTGCAGAAAATCTGATTGTGTCAGTAACTGGTTCAGCACGTTTACACTTAATAATCTGATAACTGCAGAAAATCTGATTGTGTCAGTAACTGGTTCAGTGTGTTCACACATAATAATCTGATAACTGCAGAAAATCTGATTGTGTCAGTAACTGGTTCAGCACGTTTACACTTAATAATCTGATAACTGCAGAAAATCTGATTGTGTCAGTAACTGGTTCAGTGTGTTCACACATAATAATCTGATAACTGCAGAAAATCTGATTGTGTCAGTAACTGGTTCAGCACGTTTACACTTAATAATCTGATAACTGCAGAAAATCTGATTGCGTCAGTAACTGGTTCAGCACGTTTACACATAATAATCTGATAACTGCAGAAAATCTGATTGTGTCAGTAACTGGTTCAGCACGTTTACACATAATAATCTGATAACTGCAGAAAATCAGATTGTGTCAGTAACTGGTTCAGTGTGTTTACAGTTAATAATCTCATAACTGCAGAAGAACTGAGGGACTAAAGAACCTTTTCTGGTTCTACATACAACCATAAAGACTGTATACAGAACCAAACTCATTCACCATCAATCCGAAAAATTATTTCACCACATGAAAGCATGCAAATGGTTCTTTGCGTGTTCATGGTCTTTACTAAAGAACCCTTGATGAACCATCTTTTTTAGGAGTGTATCATAAAACAGTGTCTCAGTCATCAGGCAGTGAATTCAGAACCATTTCATGTAGGAACTTTCTGTGAGGGAGCTTTTAGAGGTGGACGTCTGGTTCCTATCACCACCACTGTGAACAGTTCTGACTTGGTAAGTTTCTCTAGAACAGAGCGTTTCACACCAAACCACTCTGTTTACATCTTAACCGGTTAATTATGCAGTAAATTTCAAAAACTGGGTGGAATTCCCCTTTTAAGCACGAACACAGTGTCTGAAGTTGTGAAATTCTGCTTTGTAGAAGTTCCTTGAGGCGTGTGTGCATTTCTACTGACATATGGCCACCATACCACACACACACAGCGAGAACTTTCACACTTGAGGACCACATCAGCATGGGTAATCCAAACCATTTGGCCTAGATAGGATCCCTTCGCACGTCAATGGGAAAAGGTAAAGAGTAAAAAGGGTTCCACTCTGCAGGCCCTTTGTTTTCACTCCAGACAGAACCAGTGCAGAAGATCTGATTCTGGTTTCACATCTAATAACCTTCCAAAGGATCAACAAAGGCACAAACGGTTGGAATGCACAGAGCAATGAGGCTGACTTTGGCTTGTGGAATTCTCCGTTCCACCTTAAATGGCGCAGCAGTCAGTTCCACCTTAAATGGCTGAATTTGGTTTCTTATTCAAATTCCACGTCCTATCTTAAACGGCTGGATTTGGCTTGTTTTTGGAATTCTGCGTTCCACCTTAAATGGCGCAGCAGTTACATTGTGGCGCCTGAGGCGCCACAATGTAACTGCTGCGCCATTTAAGGTGGAACGGAGAATTCCAAAAATAAGCTGCCAGAAAAGAGAGAAAACAGCTGAATTTTCCCAAATGAGCTGCATCTCGAGCTCTTGGGGTCATAATTTTCATGCCTGTACATTATTTTGCATGATTAACATTCCATATTTTTTGTGCAAATGCCTTAAAAATGCCTCTGCCAGAGCTATGTAAGCTACGAAAGCTATGGCCCTCCTGGAGGGGGGGTTGTGTAAGTCCTCCCTGGCCGCAGTGCTGGACATCTGGAGCAAATTAGGAGCAGCAAAAAAAACCCTCCGAAAGCTCCTCTCACTTCCACAGCAGCAGGTAGGAAAGAAGAACGAGCTCCTGCCAAAAGCGCAGTCTGGCTTCCAGGCTGCTAGGCTGCAGGTCTAGATCCATATAGGCACAGGAGAGTCTAGAGAACCTCCAGAACCTCCAGAACCCTCCTCCACCGTGCTCCTTACCTGCAGTCTCTCGCTCGCGGGCTGCCACATCTCAGCGGATCTGCGGCCTGCTGAAGCTGAAGGTGCTGGAGGTTCTTCTGCTGCTGCTGCTCTGGATCAACATCTGCTGCTGCTGGAGCTCCTTATTTTTCTCCTCCAAGCAAAGCAGAGAAAAAAACAGAGAGACGGGGGCGCGAGGAGAGAACAAGCCCCGCCTGCAAGGGGAGGAGCACGCGCCTCCTCCTTTCTTCTCTTTTTTTTGGTGCAGTTCTCAGAGCGTCCAGCAGAGGCCGCTGTAAACGCGCTGTTACATAGACAACGTTCAAAAGTTTGGAAGCACTTGTGAATGTGTTCGCATTCAGTTGTGGTGTAATGTGTTGGATTAAAAAATGGTTCTTTAAGGGTTCTTTAGTAAAGACAATGGTTCTGTATAGAACCTTTGCATGCTTAAATGGTTCTTTGCATGGTGAAATGGTTCTTCAGATTGACTGAGAATGTGTTGTATATGGTTCACACTTAAAAAAAGGTGGCTCTTCAAGAGTTCTTTAGAACAGACAGTAGTTCTATATAGAACCATGAGCACACATAGAACCCTTTGCATGATTAAAGGGTTCTTTGCATCACAGAAGGGTTCTTTAAATTGATGGAGAATGCGCTGAATATGGTTCACACTTAGAAATTATGGTTCTTCAAAGGTTCTGTAGTAAAGAAAGTGGTTCTGTATAGAACCTTTCCGTGCTTAAATGGTTCTCTGCATGGTGAAATCATTCTTCAGATGAATGGAGAATATGTTGTATACGGTTCACACTTAAAAATGATGGTTCTTCAAGGGTTCTTTAGTAAAGAAAAAGGTTCTATGTTGGTCCAGGACCACTCAGAGAACCCTTTGCAAGATTAAATGGTTTCATGCATGGTGAAATGGTTCTTGAGACTGATGGAGAATGTGTTATATACAGTTTGCACTTAAAAAAGATGGTTCTTCAAGGGTTCTTTAGTATAGAATATGGTTCTATATAGAACCATGAACACTCAAAAAACCCTTTGCATGATTAAATGATCTTGAGATTGATGGAGAATGTGCTGTAGATGGTTCTATATAGCACCAAAAAGAGTTCTATATAGAACCATTGTCTTTACTAAAGGACAAGAGTGTGCAGCAGGCGCCAGAATGCATCTGTGGACTGTTAAACCAACTCAGTTATGATAAATTTTCAGTTATTTTTAGTGTTGATTACTGTATTACATTTGCACTTTAATTGATCTGGTCAGTAAAATCTTGCAGGCCGCAGAAGCTTTTGTGGTCAGTTGTGTGGACTGTGAGTTGGGAAGGGCTGGGAACCTCTGATCTAGAACACTGAGTTGTGTTTGTGTACACTGTCATATGAACAATTTAGGATTTTGCTTTTAATAAAAAAACAGAAGACTGAAAACACATCAGACAGCAGCGCTGCACACCTTCCGAGTCCAGCTTAACGTCCGTCTGTGGTCACTCTGCTGGAGAGAGGAAGGAGAGGGATAACACAGTGTGACGGCTGAAAGCCTAACTGGGGTCAAAGGTCAAACACTTGGCCTTTTAAAACCATTTACTCACTGTTACTGCGGCTCTGAGGTCAAGCAAATAGTGAGTCAATGTCTCTCTCTCTCCCTCTCTCTGCATTGCTTACATCTGGAATATCCACATGTACCAAAGGTCAAAGGTCACATTTCTGATTCCGGCCTCCAGGGACACACTCACAGGCGCTCTGTTGGCTGAGTGTGTGTTTGTGATACTCTGAGGCTCAGCAGTGTTAAAGGGGAATGTCACTAATTTTTCAAAATTCCTCCATAATTAAGTGGTTAAGATGTAAACAGAGCGGTTCAGAGTCGTTCAGAGAGGTTTGGTGTGAAACGCTCTGTTCTAGATAAACTTACCGAGTCAGAACTGTTCACAGTGGTGGTGATAGGAACCAGACGTCCACCTCTAAAAGCTCCCTCACAGAAAGTTCCTACATAAATGGTTCTGAATTCACTGCCTGATGACTGAGACACTGTTTTATGATAGTTTAGAGAACTTAAACTCCATTCATGGTGGAGGGATACATGCAGGGCGCTGTGAGGCAAAATAGTCCCCAAAGAAAACTTATTATTTCAGATTTTCCACTATTTTCCATCATCAACATTCCATATAAACTCAGAAGACTCGTGTAGGTTCACTGGTGGTTCTGGATAGTAAATAAAATGTCTATATTTGTGTTGTAGTCATGGCGACCCCTGGTTCCCATCACCACCACTGTAAAGACATCTGAACCACTTCACACCAAACCACTCTGAATCATTCTGATTACATCTCACACACTGAGTTATGGAGGAATTCAGGTAAAGTCCCCTTTAAATGTGAGCTCTTATATCGTTACAGAGTAGCTAATCAAAAAGTCTAATTTACTAATTGACTTTTTAGACTCATCCCAAGTTCGAACCCCTCCTGGTCTCCACCTGTGCAGGTACCTGTTTATGCCTGTTAATCATAATCGATGAATAATGAATCCATTCCTGTTTTTATGTTGTGTGCTGTTGATTATTCAGGTCAGGCTGACCTGAGAGGAGTCACAGTTTGGTGTCATGAAGTCTCTGATTAAAGCAACAAGTCATGTCAGGCCAAAGATACTTAATATTCATGTCGAATCATCAGCATAAAAACACAGATGATAATCAGAAATACCTTTTAAAATGAAGGCAGGAAACAGAGAGCTCAGTAAACAGGAGTTCACCTTTATTAGAACATTATTCCACATATAGGATCACATGGGTTTTGTCTTTTATCTAACAGAAACAGTGCTCTGGCTAAAGGCCTTCAGCGCTGACCTGGGACCAGCAGTCCTGTCCGCAGCTTTAAAGGGCCCACATCCTGCATTTTACAGTCCACTCATAACGTCTGTGTGGTTTTATGGACCAAAAACAGTCATAATTCATTTCTACAGGATCATTTTTCCAGCCTCTTTTTGTCCCTTACAACTGTTTCTCTTACTGTGCCTTCAAGACTGATATATGTAAATGAGCTCTGTTCTGATTGGCTGCCCTGTATTGTGCCTTGTCCTAAAAGCAGTCCAGGCTAAAATGTGGATCAAACTATTAAGCTGACCGTGAAAACGCCAGGACCACGGAGAAAAAATCCTTCGGACGCTCCTTTCAGATGTGTGGATACTTTGGAAGCTGCAGTGATCCATTTGCTTCCTGACAGCCATGAACAGCACCACGTTTAATCCAGTGTGTGATATAGCCCCTGGTGTTTGGGGGTTCTGTGTTCGCTGTTTACTCCAGAGCAGAGTTACAATTTCTAGACTATGAAGGACCAACTGGGTGAACCAGTCTGCTACAGCGCCACCCTGAGGCAGAGCAGTGCTGCAGCTGTAGATAGTTGACAGAAGCTGATTGTGAGTGAAGCAGATACACAATCAGCTTCACTGATTCTGGATTTGAGTCTATTTTTCTCTAATGAAGAGCATTAGGGCATATGTTTTTTTTTTGGGACCCCCAGAATTTTGACTGAGACATTCAGGGGGTCAAAGAGGTTAATAGGGGGTTCCAAACCCCGCAGGACCCCCTGTGTTTCACACCTTGGTTTAATTGGCAAATCTGCCGAGCTCTGTAGGCACAATGGGCGGGGCTGGACTGCTGAACGGAAAATGAGCCACCATATGGAAATGCATTCATGGTTGTGACCTCGCAATACTGTATTTGTAGCTTACTTACCTTTCATACATGGACTGTGTGTTCTGGGGAACTTTACTGATGGTTTCTGAACTTCCTCAAACTAACATAAAAAGTGAGTACAATCTGATTTTCTGTGATATGGGCCCTTTAATGCTAATCATTACTGAAGGAACAGCCAAACTGCTCCCAGATCAGCTCCAAAAGCAGCCCATCACCAACATCAACAACAGCAAGAGGATGAGCGGGAGACGCTGGAGGACAGGATGAGGGAGTGGAGGTCAGGAGAAAGAGAGTGAGTAGTAGACACTGTTTAATAAGTCTTAAGATTAGTGAGTGATGCTTCTGCACTTTAAGGGGTTTTAACATTAACTGAGTTACTGTTATTGCATTGTGGAGGGAAATTGCGCCATCTGCTGGATGAGTTCATTGTGAATCCCGCTCAGTTCTCCATAAGGAGATTTATAACAACAAACTAAGGGCTGTAACTTTAGTCAAACTGTCATTTTGCGAGTGTAAGAGCACAAATACAGTATAACAGCAGAACATCTTTTGAGCCATAATTGAATATTGAGATATGATGAACTACAGCACCGTTTTATTGCGTCACCACCTACAGCAAATCGAGTTGCCCTCAGTAACGTGCTCCATCTGACAAAACTGATGTATAATTTACAGAGCTAGATATTTTCTTGATTACTGCTGACTGTGTGGTCTGTGTTGGCAAAATTAAAATTAAAAACTAAATTAAAAGCTGTTTTTCTGTCTTTTATTGTCAGTTACTCGGTAGAAACACTGATATAGTGTCAAATAGAAATGAAAATGGGGGCAAAACCTGTAACCAACATCACCTCCAATTCACTGTTAACCTACACACTTAAAAAAGACGGTTCTCCATGGGTTCTTCAGTAAAGGCAGTGGGTTATTTCATGACTAAATGGTTCTTTGCATGGTGAAATGATTCTTCAGACTGATGGAGAACGTGCTGTAAGTGGTTCTATATTCCCCCAAAAACGGTTCTGCTACTGTATAGAAGCTTCACATTGTAAAAATGGCAGAACCCTTTAAAAAAGGGTTCTATAAAGGTTATAAACGATTTCAACCTGCAAAGAACCATATAAGCATGCAAATGAACCACTGCCTTCACTAAAGAACCATATTTTTTAAGTGTGTACTTTTTGAGCGTAAACAGCAGGGGGCGCACTTTCCTTCTCCATTGTCAGTCACTATGTTATTTCATAGAGTGTAGAGCTCATGTTTAACTATATCCTCTGCTGTATTTGTATTTTCCCCTCTGCTTTGTCTCCCAAAGGAGACGACAGGAAGGACGAGTGAAAACTGAGTGAGTGAGAGAAAGAGGGAGAGAGAGAGAGAGAGAGAGAGATAGAGGGAGGGAGTGGAAGAGGGAGAGCGCTCTGTGTGGACCGTACGACACTGTAAATCTAGGCCGGTTCTGCGTTAGTAC